CCCCCCCCACCTTATACTGTTCTATCTTTCTTGGCCTCTGCACCTCACTCCTGAGCAAAGCCTCCTGCTTGTGATGAAATGCTGCTGCTCTCCCCAACTGTGTCGTTTGTGCTCCTCTGGGAGAGATTAGTAGGTTAATTTATGTGATTTCCTTGCAGTTTCTGAGATATAAAATGTCAAGGAATTTACAATATAATGATCCTTTATTTATCTTTCCATAATTTTAAAAAATATTCTTGGTCTGTTTCTGTTTGAGTTTATATCTGGAGTTGGGGTTGACTTGACTGTTGTTTTAATGGTATGTGTCTTTATGGTGCTGTCTTTAAAAGGCTGTGCATGTGTGTATTTGTGCTCACAGCACAGATCCATCAGGAGAGAAACTATTCCCTGGTTACTCTGAAAATGAGTGTTTCACGTGCTGTGTTTTTGTCGCTGTTGAATTTTGAATGAGTAGTGCATAGGGATTAAAATCATAACTGAGCTTCCTTAAAGCAAGTAAGGGAGTCCCCAAAGCTGCTTTTTACAGGACTCCCCATGTACATTTGGTTGTCGAACAGAGTGCCATCAGAAGCATCTGTTGCATCACGGGCAGCAGCCTGCGCCGTGCAGTGTGGTGCAGAGCCTTCCATGGCCCCCAGCATCCCTCGTTATCCCTCTGCGCTAGCCATCTTCAGGAAATACATGCTTCTCATTGAGTGGTGGAAGTTAGTAAAGCAATAAGTATCAAACTCCGAATGTAGCACGGCTAGCAGCAAAGCAGGCTTTTGCACAACTGGTTTTGCTCTGTTTAAAAAAAAAAAAAGACAGTAGTATTACCCTTTTATGTCTTTCTGGGGTTAAGTATATGGTAAGGGGCCTGTGTTGACTGCTGGATTGAGTTTTGAGTTTCCCACTGGTTGATATACTTCCCAGATCCTTTACTGGATAGGTGACACAACTGTGCCTGGTTTATGGAGTTTTTACTGTGAGATGCTCCCATGGGCAATGTGCTAAGCTCTGGGCTGCTGAAGCAGAAACGTCGGGTAGCACACAGGGAAGGAAGAGAGAGGGTGTCTTGTCTGGGGAGGATGGCGTCAAATGTGGGGATCATGAAGGGGGCTGACGTAAAGTTTCCAGGAAAAGTTGAAAGTATGTGGAGGAGATAATTTGTAGCATAGAGGCTGCTCTGTGTGCATGGGACGAAGCCTTAAATGATATAAATTGACACATCTACGCTGACTTCAGTGACTTAGACCAGCTGGAGATACAGCCCGGCATGTGCTCAAGTTCAAAGCCCTTGCTGTTTCACATTTCATCTCCTTCTCTTCCAACTAACCCCGAGCATCCGGCAACTTGTGGTTTGTCTGGCAGCAATGCAGTGTTAATTTTTGGAGCAAATGGGTTCTGGGAAGGTTTGAACCAGGCTCCACATTGCTTGTATGCGTGCTTGTGTGTGGTGGTTGTACTGAGCAATGTGTCCTGGTGAGACTGGTTTAGCTCTGGTTTTGCAGGGTGATCTTATTCTTCACTATGAAGGGAAAGGCACCCTCATCTCTGCAGTTCATCTGCACTTTCACTGATGTTGCCACAAAATCTCTGGCATTTTCACTTAAATTCATTACCAGTAAGCAAGGTCCAGCTCTTCTGTCACCAGAAACAAAGCCACCTTTCTCAGTGAGACAAGCCTTTGACTCACACATGCGTCTTCTGGTGGGATAACCTTCTAATACGGTTTTAGTAACCTTCTGAGTCTTAGCATCACTTCTGGTCCTCTTATGTGAGTTCTCAATGTCTTTATTCCCATTTTCCCCCCATTTCTGGCTCGGCTGGGTTCTATCAGTGCATCTTTAGTTTAGAAAAGCTTTGCTGGCCATGAGGATTCATACACAGTGAGAGATCTTGAAATCTCCAGCTCTGTCTCGCTCCGAGACCTGCTGTTTTCCTAGTCACGAACACACAAAGGCTGAGCTCTGAGCTGCTACGTCAGGCAGTGTCACGAGCTGTGGAAGATAACAGTGAGAAGATACTTTATCTAGGAAAAGTCGGGTGTAAGGGGAGGACAGTGGGGCAGTGGCAGGGAAGGTGGTGCTGAGAGGTCCTGTTCATGTGTGCTGTGCCTTGGTCGGAGGGCTCTCCTGTAACTCTGGGTCAATAACGCATGTGATATGATCTGTTTAGGCATGCGCGCACCGCTGGAAAAACATCTACTATGAGACAGAGTACATCCTGCCCCACGGCTTCTGCAACATCATTCCCCCCAACCTGCAGCCCAACGGGAGGAAGCTCTTGCCCTGCTATGAAGGTAAGGGGTGTGGGGCTCATCTCCCTTGCTGCGCTCTCATTTTACAGCTGCTGTGTTTTCCCTTTATTTCCAAAGTCATCCACAGTAACCCTCACTACTGATATTTTTCTTTCTTTTTTTTTGGTAATATGTGGCTGCCTTGCGGCACAGGTGGGGTGGAGGTTGGGTTTTGAATGAAGTCGGGAGAGTAGCAGAATGACTGAACGGGTCCTGTGACTTACTGTGCGTGGTTGCACTTTACTAAAGGAATAATACATTTCTGAACTGTGTTTTTGAGGCAGCAGCTTTCTCTCCTTTGTGTGAATAATCGGTAGACATTGATCTGAGCTTGGCCTTTCATGCTTTGCCGTGGCACAGAGTAAAAATCCTGAATTACATTGTAGCTGGGAACCAATTTGCCCGTCTTAAGGAAATATTTTCATTTTTGTGTTTTGACTTATCAGAGGACTGGAAGTGTGGGGGGGGTAGGCTGCTTGACACCTTGCTCATTTAACGGAACTTCTGCAGCAGTTTATATTGAACTGTTTCGGGTGCTGTAAGGTGTCTCGGTCCCTGTTTGGATCTTCTGAACGTCTGGGTTTGGGGGACATGGAGAGGAAAGGCTCCAGCTCTGAGCAGTGGGTGGCTGCGCCTGTTGATTCTGCTCCAAATCTTAAGTGTCAACATTTTAATTTTCCAGCTCTCTGGTGCATTTGAGACTCTCTTGTATCGTGTTTCCTTTCCTAAAGACTTCAGAAGACAGCATCTTCTCAGCCAAGAGCAATTAACTAAACCAGAGGCATGAGTCTGTTGTTAGGAAGAAGATAGGGTATCTCCTAAGATTTCTCGGCCTTCAGAGAAACGCTTGGCGGAAAACAGCTTCTTGGTTTCTCCTGTCTGTCCGGGCATCGTTTTTCCCCTCTTGCCTGTAGGAGCCTAAGGAAGCGTGGAATTTCAGAGGACAAGATGCATCTGGGTTTGTTGTGGGCAAGACCTTTAATTTTTTTAATTTATTTGCTTTTATTAATTCCTCCCTTTTCCAAGTTGGCAGCAGCCAGCAGCAGGCTTGCCGCTGACATTAGTAAGTGGGAGTGGGATAAGGCAGTGGATGTCGCGGTGAGTTTCTCTGCTGCTGGCGAGCGGCCGTGTCCCAGCTCAGCAGCCCATGAAGCCAGCTCTGTCACAGAGCTGGGTCCGCTCTTTCTCCTGAGGCAGCTCCTCACCTTCCTCCAGGCTTTGCTCGGGGACCTGCCACCGCAAACCCACGCACCTTCTGGAGATGGCACACACTCATGCACTGAGCCTTTCCCAGCCCTGAAATTGGTCATTATTTGAAACGTGAGGGGTTTTGCCTCTCTCGACCCAGCCATGCCAGCTGCTCTGCAGCAGAATACAAGTAAACTACGTAAGCCTTCCTGTTGTGAGCACCGTCCTACTGTATTTGTCCCTTGGTTTCTTTTTTTGCCTTGTTCCTGTCAGCAAAATCAGGATAAGGCCTCACACTAAGGTAATGCACTGCAAATCATCTGATATTAACTTTATGGTCAACGTGCACGCGCGGGGATGCTGCTGGGGCTCCTTCTGAGCCTGTGTCACCGCTCCTGTGCCGCCTTAAAGACAGCCCGCCTGAAGCTGTGGCGGGGAGGTGGTTTCTGGAAGAGACGAACTGCTTGTGTTTTTCTGTGCGTCATGTCTTCGGAGTAAAACTGCTGCTAATCTGACAGGATATTTGCCAGGAATTGCTAGAAAATAGAAATGTGTGGGCCTAGTACACGCAGAGCTGCCAGTGGAAAATTGGCAGGGCTGGTGCAGTATGATGTTGGCTTAATTTCACTCCATGGAGTGAAAATTGGAGGTTTGGGACTGATTTTTCTCCCCCACCCCCATCAGACATGAAATCACAAAGTATCACGAAGGATGGCTGCGTTTGTTTGCTCCTGGATCTTTTAGGTTTCAATAAAACAAGCTCAAAGAGAGAGATAGCCGTGGTGCGTCATGCAGAGGGATTCGTTGTTTGAGGTTTGCTGTGAAATAAGATTGCAGTCATCCTTGTAACATTTTTCCTTCACTTTCTGGAAGCAGAAGAAGCAATTCTCCTCCACTGACACTGAGGAACAGCCCAAAGGGGAGAAGCGGTGAGTCTAGTAGGGATATAAACATGGTGTGTAATGCACTACACCGAGAGCCTCTTGGCCGTCACTGGCAGGCTGCCAGACCCATGGCTGCAAGCCCTGTGCTGGGGAGCGCGCTTTTGCCTGCCGAGGTCCCGGCGTCTTGGCCTTCTCTGTGACTTGCCATGTGTGAATGGGTGCAGGCAGTCGTGTCCTCATTTCCAGACACCCAGTCGTTAGCACAGCTAAGGCGATAAGCCCCGTGAGAGGCTGGTGTGGCTGCATGGTCCACAACCAGAGCTGGCTCTCGCCTAACTGGCGAAGGCCAGTTGAGTGCACATCAGTCTCCATCCATCTCTGTGTGTGTGTGTGCACACCTCAAGATGGATTATTAGCTTGTATAACAAAACTCTTGTGCCAGAAAGGGAGAGAAGTCTGACCTTGGGATAGACATACTTAATGCATACAGTATGTTTTCTCTTCAGATAAAGCAGGCTTAATAATTAAAGACAAAGGAGGAAATGGAAATTTCCTGACTGGATGGTAGTGGTGCAACAACATATAGTCTCAATCCATCTTATTCTTGTCCGGCTTCCCTGAAAGGGCTGACAGAAGTCTGGAAGCGATTGAGGCCTAATGAGAACAGCAGCAAACCTAATAGTTAAATGCAGTCTTTCTGAGTAGGAACTAATCTGGTTTATATGAGCTGGATGTCCTTTGTGGTATAGCTGGCGTATGGAGCCATGGTCTTCCAGGCAGTGCTTTCGCTTGTTTATTTTTCCCATAGTTTTAATGGCCTTCCAAAAAAAGGAAGCTGCCTCTTCATTCCCCCCCCGATGCATTCAGTTTGCAAAGAAGGGTGGCCGCGTCTACTGTGAGAGGCAGTCCAGCTTATGGGGAGAGCTGGGACAGTTTCCTAGTCCTCTGCGGTAGAAGTTGGTGGTGGAGGTGGGGAAGACTGATGGAACCTTTGGTTAGTAAATAAGGGGAACAGCACATGCTCATGTGCCTCTCCTCCAAAGGGATAAGCAAGTTTTCCCACAGGGTCCAGACCACATTTGGTTTTCTGGGAGCCATCAAAACATCCCTGCTTTGTGGTGCAAACCCAATACCACAATGCTAGGTCAGAAAGATTGCTACTGTTTCTTCCTAGTGTAGTAAACCACTGTCAAATAGGAAGGAAGAGGCTAGTGCAGATGATAGTTTACTGTAATTGTCCACTTTGCTTCCACCTGTGAAGATGGTAGATACACGGTTTTATTGCACTGTGGAGCTTATGCTATGTTATGGCATTGAAGTTTGCTTAGAGACTTTTAGGGAGGTTTGCTTAGAGAAGAAGTTGAGGAGCATTTGCCTTCAGAATCGTCACACATCACGGCGTATGCTGTTTGTTTGTATATTGTTTTATTCAATTACTTTTCCCTCAGTCTTACTTCTCTTATAACCTGAAATCATCATGGCTACAAACCACTACCATCTTCTTCTCTTTTTTGCTTTATGTATTTATTCATGGCACATCTTCAAAGTCGCAGAGGCAGCCACCTCCTCCAGACTCAGCCTCATCTTACTGCTTTGCTATCAGCTGTTGCCGCAGCAGTTAGTTTAGTGGCTTGCGGTTTATGTAATTGGGGGTGCACAGCAGTCTGCGGGCAGACAAGAAAGAACAATAAAGAAGTGTAAAAACAAAGGATCTGTTCATGACAGCAGTTATTGCCTGGAGCTACGTGGAAACTACCGAATCCACTGTATGCAATATTTAAACCTCATGCAAATGTTGCTATTCAGGTGTGCAAAAGCTGTGAACTGACAGAGTAACTGCATGGTTTTCTGCTGGTTGATTGTTTCACTGCATTGATGGGTGAATGGACGGATGGCAGTGTCTTATGAGTGACAGGTGTCACTGCTGTGCACTGAAGTGGAGGGGAGGTAGAAGCAATCTTGATTTTCATGCCTTTTGGGCTCATCTGCTGCTTGGGAGAGGAGGCAGAAGTCTGTGGGGTTGGGATGTGACAATCCAGGATTTGGGGGGCTGCTCTGGGCTGTGACCATGGGTACATGGGTGGAAGGAGACCTACTTGGCATGTGGGAAGGGATGGGGGGAGCCGCATGCAGGTGGGAGTTAGGTGGGCCGATGAGGAGGGGTGGTTTTGTGCTGAAAGGGTTATGTTGGAGACCAAGAGCTCAGTGTCCATCTGGGCTGGGCTGCTGGCTCCCTGGGGAGGACTGCCTCTGTCTGGATCCCCCCCAAAACGTGGTGCTGGTCTCTGTTCTCTGTCAGTGGAGGTTTAAACGCTCAAATAGCCTCAGTACCTGGGGTGTTTGGGCCTTCGTGCTTTCGTTTCCTCTTCCAAAATGTCACTAAAGCTGTTTTCTCTCTCAGAAGTGTTAGGAAAAGAGGTTAATTGGTATGTGTGGCGTGCTCAGATCCCATAACGATAAGATGGAGTCTTGATACCTGTAGGGAGGAAAGATGGTCATTGCTTTGCATTGCTGCTGTATGTCACGCCGCGCTACTGTTTCTTCTTTATTTATTTATTATTCTTCTGTAAGCTCTATTTTTTTTCCTGAGAAGTATTGTCAGGTATTTATTCAAGTCAAAATGTTTTGAGTCTTTTCTTCAGTTCACGGAAGCACTGATTATATCCAAACTCCGAATTTAATTGAAATGCTGCAATCCCATCTATTCATGGTTACAACCACAATGTAACTTGTTATTTAAGTGAAATGTAGGGCCATTAGTTCGAGCAGAGAGTATTGTCAATGTAAGTGGCTTAAAAAACACTGAATATCACAGAAAGCCATGAACAATGTCTGTGAAAGTATGAGCTTCAGTGGGTATACCAACTCAGTTTATTACACAACTATTTGAACCAACAAATCTTTCCCATTCCTTATGCATTGCAGTTAATAATCATTTGGTTCATTTAAAGAATAATCAATTTTTCATTGCCTGACAATGAAAACAATGTATGTGTTTCAGTTTCTTTTCTAATATGTATATTGCTAATGAAAATCAGCTGTGTTGTGTCCTCTGATGTTGGGGCTTTTGTTTCAAGTTATTCCTGATCTGAATTTGGTGTCTTTGTTTTTTTTTTTTTTTAAAAAGTAGGCGAAATTATGTTGTAATAAAACAATGCTGTGAATTCAAGTTTTTGACTTGAGTGGAGAAATGGTTTAATTTTTGTGCATGTACTGTTTTAACAGAAGAAAATCCTGTTTATCCTAAGAAATGAAGCAATTTTGCGTGTTTGTTAAACACAGCCGCATGAAGCTACGGATCCATCTACCACCCTTGCATAGCTGTCTTGTTCCATTGCTAAAGCTGCTACCATTCCTTCTGCCGTCCTCCTATGGCTTTTGCATGCCCTTGGTTTTAATTTGCAGCCAAATTCAGGGGACAGCTCGTGCAAGCTGGATCACTCGCACCCGCAGGCGTGTCTGGATGGGGCCTCTCAGGCGGCTGGAGTTACACGGGGCGATGGTTTGGAGACGTTCAAGCCTCACCCAAGTCTACGGCAAAGCTCTGGTGGCTGGGCAGGCCACTGTTGTGTTTGAGGCTTTTACGTGTTGTCGAATTGGGGGGGGCGGGGGAAGCAGTGGAAAGCCTGTTTATAAAAGAGAAGAAGAAATCTGAAAATCCAAAATAAGAAATAAGTTTTATTTGCTTCCCATTCCGCGCTGAGGCGTTCCCCCCAGTTATGTTGTTATTTGCCTGACCTAAACCTTTCACTGTGCAAGTTAAATATCCTATGGCAATTTTCCTCTTTTATTTTAAAGCACATTGAGCCGTGTGTTTTTTGAAGGAGACACTTAAAGAAACCGTGAGCCAAACATAATACAGTTTTATAGGGAAATACAACATTTTAAATCCATCAAACTGTCAGCGGGGCCTACTTGCAGCAGTTGGTTATGGGCCTGACACAGAGATCCATCACGGCTTGCTCTCAAAAGAAATATGTGCATAAGAAACCCCCTCTTCTCAAGTCCCAGATGAGGGGCCCATTTTAAGAGGCCTGGGTCGTGAGTAAGATCTAGCAGGGACCACGGCCTCTAGTGCCTAAAGGGAGGGTGGGCGCTGTGGTCTCGTGGTGGGCTAGAGGCCTGGCTGGCGGGCCAGGTCGGCCAAGGCTGTGCGGCCCTGGTGCGGCTTTTCAGGCAGGGCACTGTGCTTGCTTGCGCTGCTTGAACATCAGCCTGAGCCCCTCTAGCCCTCCATCAAAAAAAAATACGTATCCTGTAAAGTGGGATTTAAGAAGGCAGTCTCTAAAAGCCTTGAGCTCCAGGGCCACAGTGGCTAGCGGTGTTTTGTTTTGAATTACAGTAGGTCGAGTGCAAAGTTGGGAAGAGGCAAGGTCTGTTCACACTTCAGTACATTATGTAAAGGGAAAACCTTGGCTGGAAGTGAAAGCATCTGAATGGGACGGATGTGGAACTTGCTGCATTTCATCCTATGTCATCCTATGCAAGGGTGGGAATCCAGCCGTAGCCAAGGTAGGGCCTTTAGGATATGCACAGTGTTATATTTCAGGAAATGCCAGAGGGAGAAACCTCGTCTCCTTGGCTCTCTGAATAAAAAAATGTTCATATCGATAAACAAATATTTTTTCGCAGGCGAGGAGTGCCTGGCTCTGTGAGAGACTATATGTGGACAGCTAGCGATTTAGAGCCCCAGCACTTTCTGAATAGCCATGAGCAAATATGGGCTTCACTTCTCAGTGGAATTGTTGTCATGCATTCCCACTAGGAAACCCAAGTGTGCTTCTGGCCCTTCTGGTCTGCTGGGACATATATCTGCTTTGGCAGGACCCTGCCTCGGCCAAGGGCGTTAGGCATTTAGGCTGCAATTTGTGGATCAAGTCACTGTTCTGCATGGTCTCCCCAATTAAACCTCTCCCTGTGCAACTGGTATGACCTCAGCAAATTCCTTAAAATCTGGGCATCTTTATGATGTTGGGAAGAGACTACATATAATATATAAAGGGGGAATGGGGGGTGTGTGTGTGTATGTATATATGTGGGAAGGCAGCAGTTTATAATTAATTCCTTTTGATCTTCAATAAGATAAAATGCAACTCAAAAGGAACTTCTTTGGTTCCAAAGAGGCAATTTCATTAAAATTTTTATCATTTAGCAATGAGTTAATGGTGCTTCCTTTAAAAAAATAAATCACAATTACCAGGCTACATGGTGAATGTTTTTGAGCCTGTATTACTGTAATATACAGGAAATGGCAATATGCTGGAGCTGGGCACTCATTACTGTGGTAAATATTTGAAAATAATGCTCTGGAAAAAACCTGCAACGGTTCTGATCCAGCTGTAAGTTTTAAATGCTCCTAAACTGAAGATAGTTGGATTAAGGCAGGGTGGAAAGTGATTTTCTTTTTTTTTGCTTTTTTCTTCCTCCCCCACTCACCCCCTGCTCTGAACTGAATGTATTTCTGAAAATATTTTTTTCCTCTTCTGCAAAAAGATAAAGTAAAAATTCCTCAGGTTTGATAGGGGAAACAATTGCTACATAAAATACAGAAACAGAAACTATAGTGATGCTGGTTGGGTTCCCTGTGAACTGGGAGTTCTGAGCAGGTGGCCATGAAAAGCAGCAGACCTGAGCATCCCTCAAATGAGACTGTTGTCTGGTCACTTAGAAACGCAGCGCCCTCTCCTCACTCACCGCCTCCCTCCTGGGGCCAGTGTCCCGAAGCATCCCCCCACCAGCAATGTTTAAGGGGCTGTGGTGACTGTCATTGTAGGGGGGAATCACTTATTTCTCTGAGGTAGTGACAGGCCTGGGGATTAAACCTCCTGGTGCAGGGTTGGCGGCACACAGGCATGGGCATTGCCTTTCGCTCTCCTCCTTCCCAGCTTTATGGATCTAGCTGCTGGAGGTAGGGGTGTCTGCCGATGCACCTTTACCAGGGTGATGCTGCTGCTGTTATCATCACATTACTGTGATACTGCTCATTTAGCGGCTCCCTAGGCAGCATGCTAGACGTCCCCCCCTGGTTTCTGGCCCCTCGCTTTCCCCACAACGTGGGTGAGGATGCTGCCGTGGTGCACATCGATGGCAGATCCATCAGTAAAACCTGGGAGCTCTGCGTGCTGATGTCCCTCAAGGCTGTGCATGCAGCAATGCAGACGGCTCAGGTGAAGAGCATGTGCCGTGCCAGGAATGACCATGGTTTGTTTTGTTCCCTTCTCCCATCCAGAGTACAAGAAGAAGTATGGGGAGGAGCACGGCTCGTGCCAGGCAGGGATTGCAGGCTTCTTCACCGAGGTGAGCTGGGGCACATGCACGGAAGGGATGGGGTTCGTGAGCGGCTCTCCTGCCGCGTGTCCCAGGCGGGGAGCCCCGAGCACGGCTTGGACAGCGGGCTGAGCACTGAGCATGGTCCCTTCCTGCCAGCAAACACCCTCCTGCCTCATCTGGCCTCCCGGGTGCCTGCATCTTGCACAATGCCTGCCCAGTGGTTCATACGTACATGCATGTGTCTCTCAAGGTCTGTGGACAAGAATGAATGAATTGACACTGGGAAATGTCCTTAGGGAATATTTTTATTGTGTACATCCCAAAACTTCCATAGAGATATTTCTGTGTCTAACATTGACTCTTGACTTTAAGTGATGATGTAAAACAGTCCTCCCTGAACCGTTTTGTTTATGTATGTGTACATGTGGGTATATGTAGCTATGTGAATATATATATGCACATGCACATATATATACATACATACGATAAACACTTTTTTTTTCAGTTCTGCTTCAGTTCTTTATTTCAAAAAGATGGAGAAAAAATAGCATGGTAAAATATATGCTCCAGAGCTGTTCTAAATACCAGACCATATTCTTTCCTGGACAGAAGTCTATCAGCCATGTTTTAGTTATGTCAAGGATGAATTTGTTCCCTTATGTACGTATTGATATGTTTTTGTAATGTTTCAGGGTTGGGTTTTTTTGTTTGTTTGTTTTTGTGGTTTTTTTTTACTAAGGATAAAAAAAAAAGCTATTTCAGTGTCAGGCTCCTTGTTACTGTCATGTCAAGTATATACTCACTCCTAATTATATATGTGCTGGTCTGCAGAATTTATTGTCCAGGCTGATATCAGCAGAATAAAGGTGTCCTCTCTGAAATGGCAGCAGGTGGTTTCTGAGTAAACTGGGATGGCAGGTGATGTTGCCACAGTGGCACTGTCTGATAACTGGATATTCAGCCAGCAGCATCTGTTTCCTGGCTTGTCTGCTCTTTCCAGCCTGTTTCTGTTCCCATGCTTTAAATTCTCCTTTGCTACCCTAGTTCAAAAGATATCTTTGAACTTTCATTGCTTCAGCCCGATGGCAGCTCACTGAGCAGGAAACACAGATAAATAGCTTTTTGGGTCAAACAGGCAAGCCCCTACCATATATTCAGCACTGCTGATGGTAGTCATTCCTGCCGGTAAATGATCCCTTGACCTCAAGGGCATGGCCCCTCCTAAGGAAAAACGCTGTTGCCAAGCACGTCCTGCTCTTTGGTTGGGTTTGCAGTCCTGTCCCTGTAGTCTTATTAGGAAAATCCCTTCTTTTAACATCTCCCCCTGACTGGAACTGGTCACCCAAAGGGATCCCAGGCGTGGGAGCGTTTTCCCATAAGGACGGCGTTTACCCATGGCCTTGCACTGAATGGAAATGTGAGGCAAAGCAGCTGTCGTCGTGTCTCCTCCAGGGATGGAGAACTTACCTAGGCTTAATACTTCCCAGGCTTAATTTGGTCCCTTGCTGGAGGTGTTTAAAACCACATCCAGGAGTAAGGTTTGCCCGCAAGGATGCTGGATGCTTTGGGCCAACACTTCCGCCATCTCTCTTGCATGCGAATGTACCTTTGATTTTGATTCAAAAGCATTATCCATGAGCATCTGCCTTAGGATGCTGGATCAAATTTTGCCTGATTTCTAGTCTTTTAAAATCCTGAATCATGGTGGGTGTCTGTAACGAGCTATAGCCAGGTTGCTTCTTGAGGAGCAGAGCGTATCTGAGGACAGAGCAAGGCAAAATGTTCCAACCGTGACATAACGCACACCCTCCTTGTTGAGTGCATGGCAGCTCTTTAGCTTCATAGTTGTAAAATCAAAATCCTTTGTGCTGTATCCTTCATGATTGGTTGGTATAGCATATCAGCCAGCATTGAGGCACAGTCTGTAGCTGAGTGGTAGGTCTGGGTGGGCTGAAGTGCTTCTATCACTTGGTAGAGGTCTTCAGGTCTTCTGGAAGATGTTTGGGAAAGGCAGCAGGTGGAGAGAGATTTTTGGGAGGACTGTGTTAGCAAGGATAAGTTTGATGGTTAGTAAGGCTGAGGAAGGTCTTTTATTGAAGCGGCAGAACAGCTGAGCAGAAGTGGGCCATAAAAGGGGAGACTATGTGTCTCTAGGATGTGTGCAGTGCCCTCCATGTTTGGGAAGAAGGATATTCTCTACATGCATACAGAATGGAAATTGTTGTTGGGCTTATAATTGGTGTTTTAAGTTAATATCCTGTCCCTTCTCCATTACTGTGTAAAGCGTGAATTTTTGTCCAGTTTTGATTGTTATGTATTTTTCTCCCCATCCTTTCCCCAACACCCTTCCGTTTTTCCTATTGTAGGAGCTGGTCATCATGGGGGCACCGGGATCTTATTATTGGACAGGAACTGTCAAAGTACTGAATCTCACTGACAACACATATTACAAGCTGAACGATGATGCTGTGATAGCCAGGCGGTACACGTACCTTGGTAAGCAGCTCTCTGGTGCTCCCTGTGAGAACGGATTAGTCCAACAACATATTTCAAGGCTTTGATGCTATAAAGTTGATACTGATTTTTTTTGGTGGTGTAGAGTATTTTTATGAAAAGTGTGAAAGGAAGAAAGTCTGAATTAAAGGGTTACCTACCTGGAAAGAAATATAAGTAAAGCAGCAGCCAGAATATTCCATTTTTGTTTGCTTGTTTTAAAAAAAACTTTGCTATAATTTTTTTGACTAATATAGAAAATGCATTTTGACTGAAATGCAGGTTGGATGGTAGGGCTTTTGCCCTGCGACAGACAAATTATTTGTCATTGGTTAGACTGCATGTCTGCTTACACCTGTCTTTAGAATAGGTACAACACATAATTACAGAATGTGTATTGTAGGTACAAATTTATTTCAACAAAAATAGCACCATGTAAGTGAGTCATTGGCAACAGAAGGAGATTGTGAAAGGATTGGCTATAGGTTCGAGTACATCTTTAACTCAGTTGGTTTTACTTGTTCTAAAACCAGCTAGTGTCCCAAATAAACTTAATTTAAAGGCTTCCACCTAATCCCCAGTGCCTAAGACTGTTGAGACCTAGAAGGCATTTCAAACAGTCAGTGGTTTGATATTGTTTGACTAAAGACTCCCACTGACCTCTCTTTTTCCCCTTAACCTTTAGTCTTTAAAAAAATACCACTTGGAAGATGCTGCTTGGTGATAGCTAAATGAGGAGTGTATATATACATATTTAAGGACATAAATAGGTTTTGCCACTGACAGGCCTGAATTATAGTGTTTACCATGTAGACAAGAGTCTCATAATTTACAGCAGAGAGCAAGGCAAATACAAGACAGCTTTAGAAGGAAAGCACTCTACTCTTCTTTAGTTATTATATATCATTTTAATATATCAAATAAGACTGAATCTTTTTTTTTTTTCTTTCTTTGATCTATCTTCCCATTTTTCTTCTTGCCTAAACAAAAATCTTTTTAAGCCATTAACTTCTCTGATCTCTTTGGCTACTGTCCTCTGCCTTCCCCCCCCGACCAAAAAGGCACGTAATTTTCCAAGCCTTCCTGGGCAGTGATTTTAGCCAAAGGAGGATACTTCTGTCTGGTTGGTGTGGGACTGTTGCTGTCTGATGTGATACTTTCTCTGCGATGATGTGGTTTCTTTGCTTTGTTTGTGTGTGCCTGTTCCTGTTTTACCGCTTCCCTTTCTGGACTTGCGGTTACCGAACTGCTCCCTGTACCTGCTTTGTGTGTCCCTTGCCAAACTCCACACACACCTTCCTTCTCTCAGCTTTTGGAAGAGTATTGGAGGGCATACTGTTGTTTCCCACCTCCATGGCTCTTGAGCTTGAATATTGGCGCCTTTTGGGCAGAACGGTTGCTGAACGCTAACAACATGCAGCCCAGGAGGAGCGGTGAAACCCCATGAGTGTGATCCAGCTGGCTGACCCTGTTTCTCAGACTCTTTCCTTTCGTGATGCATTATTTATTTATTTCCTCTCTTCTCTCCCACCCCACCTCCTGCTCAGGATATGCGGTGACAGCAGGTCATTTCTCTCAGCCGACTACCACGGACATTGTAGGAGGAGCTCCCCAGGATGGAGGCATCGGAAAGGTGCGGCTTTTTGTCAAACAATAATGTAGTCAGATGCATCAGGGCAAAAAAAGTAATATTGATGCAGTTCCCACACGTCTGAGAAGCCAAGAGTTTTTTGCCTAAGGGGTAGTTTTGGAGCACTGTGCAGGGGAGAGGTAGTTTGAAGTCATTACATTTTCTCCACCTCTTCCTGCTGGTGCCTCACATCCCTCTTCCCTCACTTTCCTCTCTGTCTCCCACCAAATCCTTAAACTAGTTATTTTAACATGACTCTGGCAATGTTTATTTCACACCACTTCTGTTTAGGATTTATATCATACAGTTATCACTTAAACCTTGCCTGGAAATGAAAAAAACTTGGAAAAGAGAGTTTGTCTTCTGGTTTTTTTTCTTCATACATTTGACAATGCTTTGCATGTGGACTGTTTCAGTATTTACTTCAGAGTAAGCATCTCTAATAGCATGAAGTGCCATTTACTAGGTAATTTGATGTCTCTTTTAAAACTTCATAATATGCTGATGCTTAGTGGATTAGGATCTGGGTTTCTGCCAGCTATACTTAAAAATCTTGGTGATAGGCTCTTGAGAAGCAAAAAAGAAAAAAAAAAAGGTTTTCCTGTAGACATACATATGTTTGATGTCCTAAAGATGTAAGCAAGTGAATGGCTAGATGGACATGGCTGGTGAGTTAGGTGTGCCTGCTTGTTCCCAGGTCGAGTACCCGGCTGCTATCAGGAGCAGGGTGAAGGTGAGCGCTGTGACCCCTATACACTTCTGAACCAAAGGTGGAGAAGTAGGAGGGGAGAAGGAAGGAAGGGATGTAAAGGATCTGCTTTTTCCCCTCTTTCTTCAAAATCTGGTCCTTTTGGGGCCTGCTGCCACCATGTGCTTGAGCAGAGATGTCCTGCATCGCCTTCCATCTTCCTCCCTCTGGCTCTTCTGCTACAACATCAGCTGTAGCTGAGTCGTAACAATAAGGAGTGAGAGCTCTACATTACCAGCAACACTATCCCTTGGTTTAAGCAGATTATTTCTGGCAGTAACAGTGTCCCAGGGGTAGCAGTGCAAATGGGAAGATGGAATAAAAGTAGAGGATGAACTTGGTACATATACCTGATCCGGCATGACTAGGACATATAGGATATAGTAGCAGTGCAGTTGCTACTGGGAAGACGTATATGGGAAAGACAAGGTTTCCTTATCCCAGGTACTCTGTTACAGCTGCTCCAATGCACCTTCCTTCCAACCTGTTTCGTCTGTGGAACAGATTTAATTTCTGTACAAGGAGGGGGGAAAACCAGCTGCTAACATGACATCCATGAGAAAGCAGCCGGCCCTGTATTTTAAAGACTCTTGCTCTAGTTGCAAAAGCTCCCATTATTCTCCCTTGGCATGGGATGTAGGCAGCAGGAACACATGGCAAAGGGGCCGTAAGAGGTGTTGAGTACAGGACATTACATTGAGCAGTCCTGTTGTGCTTTCCACACTCTCTAATAAGCTAATCCTTTCTATTTCCCTGATAGAAAGTGATTAGCATTGTCGCACTCTGTTCACTGAAGGTAAAGCCAAGACACTTAATGAGACTGAGTCATTTCTCCAAACTCACCAGGAGTGTCATTAGTAAGACTGGGTTTGGAGTCGTGAGATCTGGCAACATGCTCTGACTGCTAAACATGCCACTGCAAGACCTGGGGAGTTCTTTATATCTAGAGCAATTCTCCACAGTAAATCTGTGCTGTGTTCTCGGCTGAAAACAGCTTTGAACTCTGTCTCACCACCTATTAATAACTCGCCACATATTTAACTATGTCAAGTGCTTGGCTCCGCCACGTGGCCTTGGAATCATCTGTCCTGCAAACTGTGTAAGCACCTGCTAGGAGGAAGCCTGACAAACGCTGGAGGAGTCTCAAACCCTGACTGAGCCAGCCTTTCTGTCAAAGAGAGTCTCTTTCTACAAGCCATGTTAAAACGTTTTAGGACTTAAATTTTGGTACAAGATCTGTTACTGAACTTGCATCAATACTATTAGCCCCGAGAGTTCTTGGTAAAACAGTTTCTCCTGGGGAAATGAGCAATGAGCGGACTATATTTGAATAGTTTTCTGATTTACAGGTTGTTTCAGGCAGAAGCAGTGAAAATGCCTTGGGTGGTCCAATCGGGATTTCTATTATGACCTTTGCTAAAGCATTGAGAAGTTTGCAGTGCAGAACGTGCAGGCACATGTCCCTGAGAAGGGAAGGCTGGATAAGGGAAGGGTAGCAGGGTTATGCCTTCTCAGCCTTTTGTCCTGCTTGTTTCCAGGCAGTCTCCAGGTGCCACTTGTTGGAGAGTTGGAAAGTTCCTTTACCTCTTGCTTTTAAATGTGCACATGCGCACATGCGCACCAAAAAAGTAGGCGACAAGATACTATTCAAGCATTTCTCATAAGAGGCCTGTGATTCATCATGGGGAACTCTATGTTTTGTCTTTTAAAAGAAGACTGAGCAATAAAGTGGTCATAAAATTGGATCTTGGCTATAGCCATGGCCATGATCATGATTTAGATATTATTTAGAAAGCACCAATGCTGTACCATTATGTGCTTCGTAGTTAGTATTGGTTAACTTTTTTCTTTTTTCACTTTTCAGGTTTATATTTTCAGAACAGACAGACGATCAGGCTCTCTAATAAAGATTTTTCAGGCTTCAGGAAAAAAGGTGAGCTTTTATGTACGTGTGTTTTCTTTAAGGGGTAGAAAAGGGGGAAATAATGGCAGGGTCATCTCAGCGCATCATTTTCATTCCTGTGCTTCATGAGTTGACAAGTAAATTCTGTTTCTTCTCGTCCTCCCAGAAGAGCTAAACCTATTGTACAGACCAGCGGTATGCCCTTTCTCCTGTGGCGGTCATGACTGCAATGTCTGCTCAATGAATGAAATTAAAGGTCTTGCTGAAAATTGTACTAGTGGTTCTCTTTAGCCTTACACAAATGTAGTAGCAACTTCTGCTGTTGCCTTCTGAGACATGGGGCGCCAGGTGAGCCTAGATGCAGAGATTTCCTCTTAGTAGATGTTACTGGGAGATGTGGGTAGCCTGGAGCTTAGTTTAATACACAAAGCCCCAATCTGTTTTTCTGTGTCCTCCTGTGACAGGGGGGATTATTAGAGTTATGCTGTTTTGTGGGGGAGCAGCTTCATTGCCTCAAGAGATGATGATTTCCCCCTTCCCGCCATGAGTAGTCCTGCATTTTGTTCTTAGGACTGCTGTCTTAGAGCTGACACCCCACCCTGCTATGAAATTTAGTGAATGCTAGTGAGATCCAGCTCCCCCCATGCAATGTTGTGTTTGAATGGGGAACAGCTTGTGTTCTTCACTGGGGGCTTGCTGGAGATGTGTCGCAGGGGAAATGAAGTGGACAGTATGCCTAACTATAGGTAACAACGAAAAGATGTCTTATTTGGGAATAACACAGTGAGGAAACAATACCCCTTACCTGGGGTTGCCTGTGTTCTCCTGGAAGGAGAGGAGATACGGAAAAAAAAGTTACTGGTAGCTTCTGGCTCTAGGAAGACCTGCCACCCTCAGAAGGATCTAAAGTGTTTAACTGTGTCATCAAGTTGGGAGCGTTAGCATGTTTTGTTATTTTTTCCCAACAAAACACACCTGCAGTCTTTAAAAACATGCCTGGAATAGGGGAAAACTGCAAGGATGTGTGGGTGGATGGTGTGACTTGTATTTCAGGGCCTCTCCAAAATTTGTCTTTCTCTGCACTAGCAGAATTGCAGACACCTTGAAAGGAAAAGACCTCCCAGTTCATCCAGGGCATCTCCTGTGTTTGATTGCTTCCTGTTCATTTCTTTCCCTGTTGACTTTTAAATGTCCCTAAGGATGTGCTCCTGGAGAACTATTCCTTAGCCTAATAAACAGAGCTATCAGGAAGTTTCCAGGTCTCAGCCAAAAACTTTCCTTTTTCAATTTAATTGCATTATTATTATATGTAACTTAACTAATCAAGTATTTACATCCTTCAAGAACTTCTAGGCTGTCATCTCCTCCTTCCCCATAAGCATCCCCATACAAATTCTCTAAAATCCAAATGAGAATTTTATTTGAAAGAAAAGGCTGTCCTAAATCACCCTTTCTTGGTTTTGTGATTGAAATATAACCAGACGTGCTCAGCAATGAGCATTGCCTGGAAATGAGCTCTCACAAAATGCTGCGTCCTTTCCAGTGGTGTGAAAGTTCATTGCTCTGTCATTCTTGTTAGACAGACATTAAAAGCAGGCCAGTTTCTTCCTTCCCTTTTTTATTGCTGGAGGCTGAACTGGGAAATCAAATGCAGACAAGAAAAAAGAAAATGCAGTGCCTTGTTAAAAATGTTAAGTGCACAAACTTCACGTTCTCACAGCACCGTGAACTCACCCACGCTGCAGACATACCATGTTGCAGTTAAGTAAATAATAGCCTTTCCCTGAAAATTGCCTGAATACATAGTGAAATGCTTTTCATAACTTTCGCTCCTTACCCATGAGAAATTTGTTTTAAAACCTTAGAGGATTAAAAAAAATAAACAAATAAAAAATCCACAAGGGAACTTAAGCTACAAAATAACTGGAATCAAATGATGTTTGAGGTCTGACCTTAAACCCACACAAACACAAAAATCTGAATTGCAAACTGAAACTCTATCCTTAACTCACCCCACTATATATATTTAGCAGCTTTTAAATCTTACGGACTGCATAGAATAGAGTTGCTACTGCCCATCTCCTAGCACGCCCAGTAGCTCTGGCTCGTGCATCTGAACTTCTCAAGCTGTGGGTCAGAGATCCGCAGTAAGGAATGTAAAAGCATGCAAGAAATGCAATTCATTCTTTTTAACCTAAATAATTATTTCTGTAACCTCAATTTTTCCTACTAAGTAAACAGCTGTCAATTTCAAAAAAGAAGTGGTATCTTTTAATTTTTCCTGTGGAAGTTGCTTTTAATTTTGAGACTATGGTTTGCAGTTGGTCTCAAAGAGTATGCCTTGTGGTACCTTAGCAGAAATGGATGAAATAAGGGTAGAATATAATTCTTGCTTTTGGTTTCCTTTCTGTGTTTAAATGTGTTTTGAAATTCTAATGTGGGTGGCAGTTGGGAGATTGTTAGCATTTAATGTTAAAAATTATGTCATGAAATTAATGTATTTCTTAAATTTAAGCAATTAAGTTTTATCAAGCAATAATAACTGGAGATTGAAAGTGGCTTAGGTTTTTTGTGTGTCAACTGAAAAGCTTTTATTGAAAGTCGTCTTTCTGTGTCAACTCACCTGCCTGTACATGAGAGGAAAGGCTGTGATCAAAACCTACAACCAGTACTGCTATTTGGAGGTGACTGATACAAATAGATACAAATAGAACAGGGGAAGATAGTCCACAATCAAGAGGCAATTTTAGATGCCTCTCTTCATGGATACCCTATTTTTCTTTTTTCTTTTCTTTATTTCTTTAAGGTAGCCCCAGAAGATCTGTGGTACCCAACTTCACATCTCTTTAGGAAGTCTGGCACTGGGCATGAATAATCACTAGCCAGGTCTTGGTTTAGGAAACTTATTTCACCCCTTCTTGGTTTTAAGCATTTGACAAGTGAAAGCTAGTCTAAGAAAGCCCTTTAAGTGTCTCACTGAAGCATGTCCCAGGATATAAATTTTATTCTGTTGGTAAAATATCCAAGCTGATGCACTGTTACAGTAAAGTGTTTAATTCCTGCCAGAATTATCCCATAAGCTTTCTCTGTAGGAGTGTTTGTGAGTGATAAAGCATCAAGTCATCATTAGAAATTAAAAAAAAAAACACGCCTAAATGATTTCCTCCTGTGTGTGGGCAGATACTGAATGCTTTGTTGTGACTCGGCTTGGTTACAGATGGGCTCTTACTTTGGCTCCTCCTTATGTGCAGTTGATCTGAACTCTGACGGGTTGTCAGACCTGCTGGTCGGAGCACCTATGTTTTCTGAGATCAGAGATGAGGGTCAAGTCACAGTCTATATCAACAGAGGAAACGTGAGTATGTACAGGACATGACTTGGTAAGGGATAAGGGTGTGGTTCCGGGCAGGGTAACGCTAATGTCCTTCCAGCACTGCATGATGAAACTCGATGTCTCAAATAGTGGGGTTCTGGATGTCTCTAGTAGAGCATGAAGTCACGGAAAACTCATCTGGTATCATGGTTTCCCAGACACTAGCCCACATTCATCACAGAGCTGTGAATCTTTCGAGGAGGTCCAGGAAAGTTTCTGGTTTTATGTTGAAACTTGGTGGTATTTGTGGCTTTACATGAATTTGATGCCAAAACCAAGTAAGAGTCAGCAGCTTTGACTGAGTTTTCCTTTGTGTTTTGGGTGGTCACTGGGACCTACACATCAGAACAAAAATGTCTGTGGATTTAGGAGTCCTTGTGAAGAGAAGCCAGAGATTGAATCCACTTTATCTTTACATTATGCCTTTAGCGGGAAGTTATCAGTTGGTACTATTGGATTTCACATGACCCAATAGCAGTCTTGGAAAAGTCTAAACTTTCTTGTGTCAGCAAAACAAGATCATTTTATGTTGTATTTATAGGAAAACAATGATTGTTTACCTGTTATTATGTATTTAATATTCAGGTCCCAAACCCGCTGTCTCAAAGGAGGAGTTGTTATGGGCTAAAATGAAATTGGTTTGCTTCATCAGTATTTTGTGAACTTTAATGTATGGAGTTTGTTTATGTTAGACTTAACATTCAGCACAAGTCCTGTTGGCAGCATTTGGGAGACTTCAGAACTGCTTTTCGTGTAATTTCATTTTCTATTATCCCTCCTCCTTTAAATGAGCTTTATGTTTTCAGTTTGATCCACAGGCTGTCCCACTTCTTATATTCCAGTGTTGCTGCTGGGTCCTCAGGATAGGGTCCAGAATGCCAAGCAGGTAGTTTCTAACATTTCCTGCTGGCAGTGAGAGCGTACATGAGTTAATTTTTATCTTTTATAAAACGGTCAATAAGCTAGTAGGACTTTCTTATACTCCGGCAGCAAGAATTACTTGCAGGAGCAATGGCTTGCAGGATTGTGGGTTTTATTTTGGGGTTTGGTCATTTTAAACTCTGTTTCATTCTGCAAGCACCATTGCTTAAGAGGTCATTGCAGCAGATCAGAGAAAACTGCATTATAGTACAAGCATGCATAGTGTTGCTAGATTTAATACGCTTATATTTTGCCCTTTCCTGTGAGGACTGCAAAGAAATGAGTCGCACATTTCTGTGCCTGCTTGTCTCCTCTCTGTTGTATTTCAATTTCATTATGTGGGATTTTCTTAAAGTCAGCAACTCCCCGCAGCCAAGAAAAAGATTTTATTACATGTTCCACAGGGCAGTTTACTCTCATTCACAAAGGAAGCAAAAACAAAACAAAACAACCCTTGAGGTGGGTACAGAGTTGGATTGCATAACTAAATTTTGTTTTCTTGTGGAAACGTTCCTTTTCCCGCGAGGGAAGACTGCAAGAAACTAAAGCTTATGTATCTGACCAGAAAGTGGGTGGGCAAGAAATACCAGATCCATATAAGGCTTCTCATGGCATAGGAGTACAAAGCTACTTTATTCTGAACTTTCCTCTCTCTCTTTATTTCATTAAATCTCTTTACTTATTCTTCATTTCAGAAGTCTTTTTGGGGACTTTGCTTTAATCCTTCTGTCCAAGACTTAAAAAGTTTTCAAATCCAATTGCCCAAATGTTCTTTGCTTAGGGGAAAATTCTCCTTAACTCACTGGAGTTTAGCTGAATAAGCCTGGACTGAGGATTTCACTCCTCGGATGTAATCTGCCAGTAGAGCAAGCTCTGGGCTGTTACATTTTAGGCGTCTGGAAACCTTCATGAGCTCACTAAGCCCTGTGACTGTCATTGAGTTATTGTTTAGTTAATTTAGCATTTTAGTTATATCACTTATGCGCTTCTTTCCCCACCCCCCCACCTCCCCCGCCATTAAAACTAAAAGACAGAAGGTAAAAAACCCAAATAAATTACATTTCTAGCGCCCAGGTGATCCGTGTGCCACGAGGGCCAGAGTCAGGCTGCAGCCCTGCCCCAGGTGCTTCCCACAGCGCATGGGTGGCTCCTGCGGGGAAGGCTCACCTTGTCCAGGGCTCGCACCATTTCCCTGACCCTGTTTTATTTCCTGCTTGCTAGGGAGTGCTGGAAGAGCAGCTCATCCTGGATGGTGACGGCGCCTACAACGCGCACTTTGGGGAGAGCATGGCTGCCCTCGGCGACATCGATGACGATGGCTTCCCAGGTCAGTGCAATTTCCTCCTGGGCCGTTTCTCTGGAAATGCCAGCGGGGCTGGTGGCACTGCTGGTCTCTTCCCACAGCTGGGTGCCATGTGACATCCATCACTCCTTCCAGACCCTACTGGCACCTGGGCTCGTGCTAAGAACAAACGTGCTTGTGTAGGATTTGTCTGCTAAAACTTTTTGTAGCTGATTGTCCTCGATGTGAGTTCAGTCCATGTCCATGCAACTCGCACCCCAATCTCATTAACATTGCTTTGCTTTCCTTGTTGTTGCATTTTCTTCTTCCCTGTACGGTTTATAAAAAGCTTTAGATACCCACACCCCGAACAAAACACAAACCTATGTCTGACTTCTTTCTTCTTTCCCATTTCCTTATGTTTTCAAGCCTTTCCAGTTTTCTTGGCATAATCGTGTTTCTTATCATGAAGTGTAATTAAGAAGTAGCTTCTCACTCCTGGTAGCATGTACTCTATTAATAATTTCTCTCCTTTGCTTTATTCTACCCCTTCTCCTTTCACGGGCCGCTGAGTGTGAAGCTTCGTGCTGTGATAGCAATAGTTGAGAGCAAAGTGTTGATGCTGGCACCTTTTCTGCCCTGATTTCTGGCAGCAGAGATTAAGGACTCTGAACAAAGGCCAGCTTACTCTATGTGTGCCTGGATTTATTTCTTTCAGACTACTCAGGGCATGGTATCCCATTAAGCCTAACCCAACCTCACTGCAGGTTGCCCTCACAAACGCTGGGCATGCTCTTCCTCTATGCTTAAACATGCATTTGTGTTCTTGCTGCTGCTTGTGGGTCAGGTGTGGTGATGGAGATTTTGCAGAGTGAGTTGGATCAGTCCGTGGGTATGAGGCCATCAGGAAGAGTTTAATTTTAGCAGCTGTGTAGTCACTAGATCCAACTAGGAAAGGAGAATGGGAGGTGGGATCACTCTTTCTGCAGGAGTTTGCAGTTAAATTGGATCAAATGTAATTTGAAAGTGCACCCTTGGCAGCCGTTTTTTCTTCCTGCCTATCCATTTAATATACCTGGCCTCATTTTGGAGCCTTGGATTTTCAAGCAAACTTAATGCAGTGCTACAGTAAATGTTTTGCCAATGCTGTCTTTGTTCACAAAGCTGATGTTCCCCTGGGTTGGAGATTTTGATATGAAAGGATTCTAAATTAACTTTTTGAGCGTGGTTGCTGTTTAATAAACACACATTTTCATAATAAATACATATTTCTGATTAGGCACAACATAGCCACATGCGTGTACAAATTCATATAAATTAGTGTATTTTTTCAAGTTTATCTTAACATGAGCTCTTCATTAAATCAAACAAGTTTTTCTAGCCAGGATGACATGAACTGCTGATCATCTTTGTCATGGGGACCTATTTTCCTATGGATAGCTAGCTTCTAAAATTGTGAAAAAGCTGGATTAATGAAATGGATTGTGAAATGTTTATAATCTGTACTGTTTTACAGATGTTGCCATTGGGGCGCCTAAGGAGGATAACTACGTAGGAGCAGTGTACATTTACCATGGGGATGCCAATGGTATCGTACCTCAGTACTCTATGGTATGTGACACTATCATTTACGATACCTATCTGAAGTGACTTTCCTGGGGCCTGCAGAAATAAACCATACTTAGGGGTCCCTTCATAGCTCTACATCCTTTTCTCAGTCCTGGTTTGAAAATGGCTTCTCCCAAAGTTTGTCCATATCTATGCTGAAGGGTAAAAGTATGTCAATAAGGAGATATTTTTCACTGATTTTTATTAGAGTTATTAGCTGTAGCTTCTTTCTTGAAACAAATGAAGTCTTGGGTTTGAATGTCAGTTTTTAGAGATAGTAGTGCTGCAGAGGGGGAATGAAAACCTTGGAGAGATTGAGCATACAAATTATGGAGAGGCCAGTTGAGAGCTGGGAGGTTGTTCTTTCTTCCTGCAGAAGCAGGCTTAGCATGGAATAAGAGGTACTAAGTTTTCTTTTGTTCCCTGCAGAAGCTGCTTTACCCATCTTGTTGGCCCTCTCCTTGCGATGTGATAATATATCACAAGGCCGTTCTTGGGTGCCGTTCCCCTGACCATTATTATGAAGTAAAAACTCAGCTGGGATATGCTACAGCGTCTTGTGCAGAGATGACACAGTGTCATTTAGCTACTGTAGCCAGGCAGTAGAGAAGATAAATTTATGCTCATGCTGCCCAACATGTGTCCCCTAGTCTCTGTCTAGCACATTTCTTTCTTCAGAGAGCCTGAATCTTCCCTTCCTCTGTGTGTTTGAGGTTCTGGTTGTTTTGGTTTGTTGCTGGGTGGGATCCTTCACAGTAAATCAGTTTAAGCAGAATTAAAGAGTTTAGTGGTTTTATTGGAGACTCTTCTAACAGTCATAGCAGTTTAGTCCTCCTTCCTTTTACCATGTATATGCCATGCGCTGCTTTTTAGAAAAAAGGAAGTTAAATGAGTCTTTATGGATACTTCTAAAATGCACTAATGTGTGGCATGTGGAGGATTCTGCCCATTTCTTGCTGAGAGCCACTGGTTAGGAGGTTCTTCTCTGGCTGTTGAAAAGCCTGGAGCTTTCCAGCTCTTGCTGAAAGGGATCAGATTTTTTTTTTTTTTTTTGGTCATTCATGGGAAAATTTAACATTTTTGAAAGAGGCCAGATCAGCAGGGTGGGAAGCGAAATATCCTGCTTGCGATCTCTCCCTCCCCATCCGAGCAAGGCCAGCAGACATGGCGCGTGCCTTTCTGCTTGGTCAGTGGGACAAAGCCCAGCTCAAGAGGGTGGCAGGGTACTGTGGTCGTTGACTCTTGAACCATACCTATC